GGAATATTCCTTCAGTTTTTTGTATGCTCGGAACGAGTTGATCGTCGTTGAACCGTTTTTATGTACGCGTGCTTGTCTATGCGTAACTTGTCGTGGTAAAGTAGAAACATGTACTTCAATCGATCGTGTTGCCGTTTTGCCTGCAAGGTATCGAAGTCAGCTTTTTTTAACAGTTCACTGGGTGACGTCAGAGCGCTGTAGCGATTATATACAAATCGGATTGCTTTTTTTAATCATTTCAAGTGTTTTAATATTTACTTGGCTATGAGGGTCCCAAACTACAGATTAATACTCGAGGATCGGGCGGATAAAAGTTTTATACGCAATTATTTTAATTTGGGGGTAGATTTGCGCAAAGAACGTCTTAGAAATGCTAGTTTCTGTAAAGCTTTCTTTTCAATGTAGGCAACATGCTCATTCCACCTAAAATCTGCACTTAATACAATCCCCAAATCTTCATAAGTGTCAACAAACGATAGTTTTTGACCATTGATGGAATATGAGTGTTTGAAAGGAAGCAGCTTTCGCGTAACGGTCATAGCTACCGTTTTCTTTTCATTAATCTTCATTTGCCACACTGCACACCAAGAAGATATTTTTGTTAACGCTGCGTTTAAAAGAACCTGGTCGTCTGCACTACGTATTTCCGGATAAAGAATGTGATCGTCTGCAAATCCCTTAATAGAAACCGTGATATCATTGGCAATGTCATCTATAAAAATTAAAAAAAGAAATGTCCCAAGCACAGAGCCCTGATGGATTCCCGAATTCACTTGTCTTGAATCAGACTGAACGTTATTTATAGAAACTATTTGATTTCGATAAGAAAGGTAGGCCTCAATCCATGAAGCTAATGTACTGTTTTTTAGGATAGGTTTAAGTTTTGCGAGAAGTTTTTGAGTGCGACACGCGATCAAATGCTTTTTTGAAGTCTAGGAAAATCATGTCAACTTGGCCTTGCCTATCTAGAATAGCTGCAATGTCATGAACGGTTTCCAACAGTTGTGTGACGGTTGAGAATCCTTTTCGAAAGCCGTGTTGTCAGTCATTGATTAAATTATTTTCCTCGAGAAAAACTGAGAGATGCTTGAATATAATATGTTCTAATACCTTCGCACATGAGCAAAGCAGAGAAACTGGTCTATAGGCGGAGACGAGAGAAGTGTTAGGTGATTTGGGTATAGGGATAACTTTTCCGAATTTCCAGTCATCTGGAAGCACGCGCTGTGACAGTGACTTTTGAAAAATGATGCACAAAAACTTCGAGCATCATTCAGCATACCTCACAAGGAACGCGTTAGGTATGCTATCAATACCAGGCGTCTTTTTGGGATCTATGTTAAGAAGTAGAGACAAGATTCCTTCCTCAGATATTGTAAGGTCGCACATTGGTGGGATATCATGAAGCGTTTTTGAACATGGTTTACTTCCATCGTCATCAGTAAACACTGAACAAAAAACGTGTTAAAAGATTCTGCAATAGTTTTTTTATTAGTTGCGATAGTCCCAATAACACATATATTAAGAAAACGCTTCTTGTTTGGGGCGAAATGCTGCCAGAATTTCGCTGGGGATGACAGCAAGAAGTTTTCTAAATTGACGTTATAGTACTGATCTTTTGCTTTCTTGATACTGTCTTTTAATTTTTTACGCACGTTACTGAGTTTAAGCATGGTCGATGGAGTGGGGTTCTGACGATGCCGTTTTCTTATCCTGTTTGCCTTTCGCCCCAAACAAACAACTGGCATAGTAATCCATGGGCTAACATTTTTTATTATTTTCACTTTTTCAAATATGCTGAGCAAGACATTCACGTTCGACGGAGAAGCACGAAATTGATGCATAAACACATGTAAATTATTCTCACGTTATGGCGCACTATGTACCGAAGTAGCAGTCCCTTGGCGTGGTTGTCTCAAGTTCATGAAGCCTCGAAAACGATTCGCCGACCCAATACACGCTCACACATATGCATATGGCACAAAAAGAGGTATATTCTGCAGACCGTTTGCAAAGCACTTCATAGATATATACCCCGCAAAAGAACGAGCTTCCATGAGGTAGCGCTGCGGCGCAATGTGTAAGGTTTCGGCTTCGACTGCATGAGGCCCCGTGTTCGATTCCAGAGCTGCGTGTAAGTTGTGTGTTAATGTCAAAGACTAGAATGAGTGTGCTACCGTACAATTTCTAACTACTAGTTACAGACACATTAAAAGTGGTGACGCAGAGCACTCAGAGCACAAGAAAAAAATGGCACCATATTCACGGGGTAAATGAAAGAGAGCGGGGTGAAGCATCCATCCCTCTATTCGTTCTTGCTTCCGTACGTCCATGCATCCATCTGTGCAACTGACCATGCGTACATCCGCGCGTCTGTGCGTGCTTCTGTTCGTGCGTCCATGCGTCGATCCCTGCGTTCGTCCATGCGTCAATCAGTCCGTGCAGCCATCCGTGCATCCGTCCATGCATCTGTGTGAGTGCCCATTTGTCCATCTAGTCAACACTCCAAGTACCACATCTCGCATCTTTTCATCATATATTTTGCATATAGAAGCACCACCATCCTGCGGACATTCCAAGGACTAAATGATAGGTAGCACACACACACTTTCTTACGGCTTGAGCTTCGTGTCTACTTCCCACCTTTAACCACCTCGATTTCATGGTGTATACAAGTTAAATTTATTGATGGCACTGCGGCCTAACGCTCGCTAAACCTTTCTCCGTCCATTCGTTCTTGCTTCCGTCCGTCCATGCGTCCGTCTGTGTAAACGTCGATGCGTCCATCCGCCCGTCCGTGCGTGCCTCTGTTCATGCATCCGCACGTCCATCCGTGCGTCTATCCCTGCGTTCATTCATGCATCCGCCCCTGCGTCCGTTCATGCGTCCATCCGTCCTTGCGGCCATCCGTGCGTCCGTCCATGCATCTGTATGTGTGTCCATTCGTCCACCTAGTCACTACAAGTACCACTATCTAGCATTTTTCATCATTTATTCCGCATGTAGAAGCACTGCCATCCAGCGGAAATTCCAAGGACTAAACGAGAGGTGGCACACGCACACTTTATTACAGCTTGCGCCTCGTGTCTACTTCTCACCTTTAACCACCTCGAGTTCATGGTATATAATAGTTCAGTGTATTCACGGTACTATGGACCAACGCTCGCTAAACCTTTCTAAAACCAAGGTGGTTACACCCAGCGAGTATAACGTAGCAACCCTTTCTCGTCAGATAGCGCTCAGTGTGCAGGCCAATAGCTGCTAATGGGCAATGAGAGACAGGGGAATTTGGCTTTGGGTTAACACTCACGATGCAAATTTTTTAAGTTTCAACAACGCACAGAAGAAATCTCCCACCGGCACCACCTTGCAGGTCAAAGCGTAAGACATGTTAGGCACTACTACGAGGCAAGAACAGGTGCCGCTTTAAGGAGCTTCACCCCTAAAAATTGGTGCCGTATCTGCATGTTTATCTGCAAATGTCGTCGAAAGACGATAGTCTTGCGTCTGGAGAGATTGAACAAAACGCTGATTTGATGTTCTGTGCAAGAAAATCGGCGAATGGTATTCTGGAGGCGCTGCGTTCGAGTGTCTCGAGAGTGCAACGGAGGCGAACGAGCGCACCAATTCACGTCACACGTGAGACATGAGTGCTATCTGGCAGTTATCTTGGAAAACGAAATACAAATGCGCGGCTTTGAGACGAGCGTGTGCACCCGCCTCATTGGCGATAAGGTGCAGAACGTAAGGCAGCTGTCAGGTGCCACCACCGTGTCGTCTCATTAAAGCGTTCGAAACACTTCCCTTTTCGTGCAAGCAGTGCATGGTCAGCGCCACGTGGTAAACGCTACAATCCTTAGAATAACTTACGTATGCTTTTTCTAGTAAAAGAGGCTCATTGAGAATTTATACGCGTTGTTATGGTGTATAAGTTATGCGTGATAATTGCTTTTTAATTGAAAATTGCAAAATTATGAACGTTAAACCTTGAGCAACATTGGTGGGCGCTGCGGATGTGGTCGACCGTTCAGAGTATCCCCTGGTGCCGTTTGAAGTGCCCGGTACCGTTAAGAAAGGACAAACTAACAAACAAACAAACAAATGGACAAACAGACAGACAGACAGACAGACAGGCAGGCAGACCAAACTTTTTGCGTCGAAGGTTTCCAAGAAAGATTATCGTCTTTAAAAAAATCTTTATTCTGCGTCCTCTTTTGAGCCGCCTAAAGAGAGGCAGCCTACGGGCTTTTTCGAGTTAGGAGAAGCCGTAGCTTTAGCCCAAAAATTTTTACATAAATTCCCGCATAATCTTTGTCACGGCTATTTCAAAGGCCGTTATCGTAGTACTGATTTCTCTTGAACACGGCTACAGGGCCGCGGTGAGAACTCAATAGAAGCGGGGAAAAGAACACCGGATTTAATCTCTGCAAGCGTGTATTCTAGACAGGATTTGACTAAGAGTGTAGAGTAAGTGTTCGCTTGCCAGTATTTCTGTATCTGGTCCACTTTTCAACTTGTTATTATCACATCATAGTTGGAAACCCAGTAGTCCATCATGTCCTCTTATTCAGTTGTACTGCTCGGTGCCATTTGGACAGCAGCCTTTGTGAACCTATGCTAGCAACCCGCAGGTCGCGGGATTGAATCCCGGCTGTGGCGGCTGCATTTTCAATGCAGGCGAAAACGCTTTATACCCGCGTGCTCAGATTTGGATCCACTTTAAAGAACCCCACCTGGTCGAAATTTTTGGTGCCCTCCCGTGCAGCGTCTTTCATATTCATATGGCTGTTTCGGGATGTTAAAACGCCACATATCAATCGATCAATCGTGAACCCGTGTAGCATGCATGAACGCCGACTAGTAATCAATATTTTATGCGCAGTTTATTTGTAAAACTGCCCATAAAGATGAAGCCAGAATTTTAGGGACGATTTTAATTTGTAGTAGTTGAGGGTATCAAGTTGCCAAATATATCTTTTTTTTCTGAAAAATGTTCGCAGGCCGTGGAAGCGTCGCCGCGGCCACTGCGAAGCCGTTTTGATCGCCAGACATTTTTTCAGCGTGTGTGCTTTCTCACATGCTCACGCACTCCTGACCAGGCCCCAGCGTCGGGGGAGCTACCACCCCGACTTCGCTGCAACCTGGCCGTCCGCAACACCCCTCTCTTCCACGCAGCTTTTTTCTGCGACCCGCGGCGTCGCCTAGCCAGGGCTGAAGTCTGCGAGCTCGTTTGAAGACGGCATGGCGGTGTGCAACCATGGACACAGGAGGCGATGATTACCGCTGAAAACAAAAGTCTCCAGCGGCCAACAAAATAATACTGTGGTGTTTTTATGGTAGCAGTAGCCAATAAACGTACTCGCAATGAAAACCTTGCAATGGTAGTTTGTGCGTTGTGCCCTTTTTCGAGTTCATTTCTCCTACCCTGTTACAAGTGCCGCGGTAGTGATGAGAACAATGATGATACGGTTTATGATTAGGAAAACGTCCTTTGTATGAAATGTGTACATCTTCGTTTGAACACGTTGAATAATAAACTCGCAGCATATTCAGAGTGAATCATGATGAGGGGCGAAGCGTACATCCGCTATCAGTCCGTCCGCCTTTCTGTCTGTCGGTCTGTCTGTCTGTCTGTCTGTCTGTCTGTCTGTCTGTCTGTCTGACCGTGATCCAGCAGACATTTCAAGGACTAAGCGAGAGGTGCCCAGCTACTACTACTACTACTACTACTACTACTACTACTACTACTACTACAACTACTACTACTACTACAACTACTACTACATCGTGGATGTATGACGCACGGCTGAAGGAGCTTCGCCCCTAAGCATGGTTGATCCCTCTGTCATACAAATCGGCACAAAACAAAAACAAGCTGTGGTTGTACAGATGTAGTGGCATGTTTACTGCATAGTCTAACAAGAATGATTGCACAATCTCTAATGGCGTTTCGCTTCGACATTAACATTTACCGTAGATGCACCCTCGTTAACTCTTGGTGGCTCATCTTTATCCCGACGAGTGACGTCTATGACGAAAGATTCGACAAATCCTTGAGGCAGCTGTTGTAGCTAGTGGTGACAGCGTAATTAAAAAAATATCAAAGCATATCCACGAAGTGAATCACGATGAGTGGGGTGAAACGCCCATAAGTCCGCTCATGCTTTCATCCTAGTGTCCGTCCGTCTGTCCATTTACCAAGTAAACACTTCAGGTAACGCCATCTCGCATCTTTTCATCATATATTCACCACATACAAGTACCACCATTCAGTGGACATTCCAAAGACAAAATGACAGGTGGCTACCTACTACTACTTCTACTATTACAACTACATACTTATAAGGCGCACGACCAACTTCTTAAGGAGCTTCGCCCGTAAAACCGGTGTGATACCCAGAACAGCGTCGCAATTTAGGCGTCAAACTTGGGTCACGATCGCCATCTCGTTGCATATTAAAATCTATTAGTCTGGAGCCGAGAAAAGCGCAAATCGAGTCGCTATTTTGTGGTGAGCCTATGTGGGGACCTTGGTGTTACAGCCAGGTGGGGTAGGCAGGCGTCGAAGTGATATTTTGAGTGCGAATGAATGGTATCAGTGAGGCTCATAATAGGCCTTAGGTCACCCCTCACAGTGTGCAAAGACATTGACAAAATTGCACTTCTATTCAAAATGAGCCGAATTATACGTACGCGTAGCAGCGACGCATTACAGGAGCTTGACTAGGCTCATATGGTTGCCCTGCCGTGCTGGTCTAGTGGCTAAGGTAGTCAGCTGCTGACCCGCAGTTCGTTGAATCGAATCCCGGCGGCGGCGGCCGCATTTCCGATGGAGGCGGAAATTTTGTAGGCCCGTGTGCTAAGATTTGGGTGCACGTTAAAACCCCCGGTGGTGCAAATCCCCGGAGCCCTCCACTATGGCATCTCTCATAATCATATGGTGGTTTTGGGACGTTAGGCCCCACATATCATCAGGCTCAGATGGTTACACCACCCCGCCGAGCAACAACACTACTAGAGGAAAGTGGGACATATGAAGGGCTATTTAAAAGGTTCTGGCGTGCCTGACAGTAGGGCTTTGGATATTAAGTCCAAAATCTGTTGTCGCGGACCAAGAAGTCATCGGTTTGGCACCCTTTGATGGATGTTTTCTGTTTTGCCGTCTTATTGTATGCATTTTCGACGTCAATTTCTTGACAAAAATGTGTCAGTGATGACTTAGTGGATTCTGGCATAAAACATCTTCGTGTCAATAAATCGTTATATTATGCCCACGCAAAATGCAATGTTTCTACTTGCGATTCTAGTGACTAAAGCCTTGTGCAGGCAGATGACATCTGTATGCACAATTCCCCTCTTTTAGTGTTATGTTACCATATGCATATTGATCTAATAACACTTTCAAGTGCTCTTGCTCACTTTCAGGCCTTCGTACCATTGCGCAGCACACCATAGCCAAGTGCAAGTGAACGCCAGCAACTGATTCTTCAATTTGACGATATATTAGTCGACCTCTAACCGGTTAAGTTGTATTAGGTCCTCGGCATGGCGCCGGCAGCACGGATATAGTGCCTGGAGCCGTTGTCGACTTGTTAGAAGGCACTGAACTGGATGCACGTCTGAGGAGTAACCCTAGCATAACAAGACCATGTTCTGAACTCCTTACTTTACCATCGTGAATCATCACTCTTTCCCTCCCCAGTCACCCTTCCCCTGTGTAGAATAGCAGATCAGAGCAAGCTCTGGCTCATGCTGTCCTCCCTACCTTTCTGTAAATATATATTCTTTCTCTGTCTCTCTCATAGCCATGTGTATATAACCTCTTCTTAACCATCCTGCCTTTTCTTTGCGTTTCTCTTCCCACTTCGGCCGACATCGCAATAGGGGCCCCACAAACTAACCACCATTTCTTACTTTTCTAAATTGGAGCGAGCAGGCATCAGCAGTTTGCAGCCGGCTCAATACTGCCAATTTGCTAATATTGTTTGATAAATGAATGGGCTAGCAGACGTTATAGGCGTTATTCACCGTGATCCAAGAATTAGTGAGATATATAAATATTTGATAGTTTACAAAGTGCGAACTTCACAACGCCGTTGCTTAAAATTGAGTGCCCATGCATCTGATGTCCTTTTTTGAACTAATTTTTGAGTGTTATGGGCACATGACACTGCACAGTGAACGTTGTGAAGCCTATCGCCGGAAGCAACCAATGACTCATTACCGCCACTAATGCGTGCGGATGCAGACTGTCATGAGAAACAGAACGCAAGGTGCGAGCCGGGAATGGGAAAGCTCTGGTGGTGCGCGAGGCCCCGATGTTGCGCATACACGCCACGTTGACGTACGAGATTGGACACAGAGGTTCATGGAACGCGAGCCGAACTCTGATGAAAAATCCCAGAGGATAAGCAAGCACTAGGTGTCGGGGCTTCGAACTGCGAAGACGTGGAAAACCAGCGTCACTACAGCGACGCAAGCAGTATAACCTGGTTCTGAAGGTTATAACAGTGAGAGGCTCGGAAAGTGGCCGTCGACCTCAGAAGTTTCGGGAAGTGGTACAGTTCTTGCCGCACCCTTGCACAGCAGTTCCTGCTGGACTTGAAGCTGTCCCACATTACGCCAGAAATGTAGATGCCCACACCAGTCAGCAAGGTAGTCGACTCGTCAGCAAGAGAGTCTATGGCAAGCTAAGACTAACTTAGTGATACTGAAGACGGTGACGAAGACCAGCATACCAGCGATGTGAACAAGTGGCTCATTCGGCGGAAGCATCCGAGGCGACCGTAGAGAACGTCGATGACGTACCCGACAAAGAGGCTACCCGGCAAAACAGAGCAGGTGACGTAAACCGCAAGAAAGTTTGATAATGAAGATGTCATATTGTCTTGGTAATAGTGGATGGGACTAGGGTCGGACTTACGCTGGCCTCTAGTCGGTTGTATTTTGCTTGGCTATGTACAAGCGGCTATTGGGGTATTTTATGCGCTCGCGAGTGTTTCTTTTTTGCTTTTGAATTTTCGCTTTTCTCAGTTTTTGTGTGATAAAGGGTGTTTGCAACACCCGTCTCCCATCTCGCTCAATAAAACTGGTTGCAAGTGCTGCAGATACCACTGTGACAAATGGGTGAACTTTCCAGCAATTTTTGCATCTTTTCGGCCCAGCAGCATATCGTCAGGGGTTGCAGAATATACTGGAAGAAGTTGACAGCCGTGGCCATTGGCGTACTAATGTATAGAAAGTGACAAATTCATTCTTTTTAGGGGCGAACTAATGGCCTCCATGCTTATTTGCATCTGCTCGAGAAGATCGCAATCGAGCAAAGTTGGGAGATCAGCAAGTGGGCCAATGCCTTCAGTTTGTGCTTCGTGGTGGAGGCAGTGAGAGTGTTCGGCTGCATGCCAGTACTAGTCTTTCGACTTTGACCTTGCTGAGAAAACTTTATTGGAGAGTTTTTGACTAGCAGCAGAAAAGTTTCGCGAGAAGTTTCGATCGTGTAAGCCTGAGAACTTTGATACTGGCAAGCGCTTTTTGTGCTGCCTTAACAACTATTTTGACCGCAGAATGGAGCTTTCAGACATTCAGAAAACATACGAAGGTGTCCATGACAAAACAGTTGGCAAACCGTTCCTTAACTATTGCAGCAGTAATCTGGTAATATTTTTAAAAGAGAGATAGGTGGGCACAGTGAAAGAAACGGCAAAACACGCTCACCAGTTCCTGAAGGTCCAAGGGCTAAAAAAATTTCGGAAATGGGAATTGGGACAATACTATGACAGTGGAGTTAGAGACTCAAGGCCAGGTGCCGATAAACAAACGAAGGGCACAACAACGATGTTTCTTTTGCAACCACCTGGAACCTATAGCTGTCCTCCGCTTGGGCGTCTGCCTAAGCAGGCGTTTGGAGTGTAGCGACGCCACAGACCTAAGATTACAGGCGGGTTTCGGCTCCCACGCCTAGCCGTGTGTGGCCTTGCCGTGTCCGGGGAAAAATGGATCCTGGGGGTTGAGTGTACGCTGGTCAATTGGACCTTTGAGGCTGCCGACAAAAGAAACACACCACTTTGGTCCCAGCTTCACGTAGACGGTACCCTTAGCCTGACCCACCCAGGGAAAATCGGCAGTCGCCTTTTCCTGTCTCTCCCTCCCTACATCTTTGCCTTCCTCTCACACTTTTTGTCTGCCCTGTCACTGTCATCTTGTCTTTTTTATTTACTTCCAAATTTCCTAGCGGCAAGTATTAACCTTGTGTGGATGCCCTGTCTTGGCTATTCCATAGTAGTTTCTAGCAGCGCTGTACAGCTGGCGTCGACAGGACTAGCCTAGCATCTACTGCCACGTGCCCTGGTTGGGCTCGGTGGTTAGCGGCTGGCACCACTGCCGAACTTTAGAGTCTATTCATACTAAACACTTTTTCACCCCCTTTCTGATCGCTCCATGAAAAAGTGGCGCACCTAGCACTTATTCATGCTCAAAGAACGAAAGCCGACCTTCCCAAAATACCACATTTCATGTTATT